ACTGCCCTCTGCCCCCCCAAAAAGAAGTATGGAGTTTGGAAAATGCTAACACATCAGTTTCAGTTAAAAAAGTGGTGCTGCAAGTCAAACTTTTGAAAAACTTGCATAACTAGAGTTTGATGTCAAAAAAAAAAAAAATTGTTCTTTCTATCAAAAGAAAGTGAGAAAGAACTATCATCCTAAAATGAAGAATTATTAACACAGATAAGAAAATAACAATGTTTTTTATATGTAATTAAGTGAAAAAAAATTCTGCTGCATGCTTATAAGCAAGTTTGCTTTAAATCTTTTATGAATATTGATTCAAAGTGCTGTATTTTATTAATTTATCTATTGTAAATGAATACTGTGTTACTACAGTACAAAGACCGTAATCTGGACTTGTCGGGACTTCGTCAATTCCAGATTAAGTGTTTTTCTGAATAATAGATCATCAATTTAAATCTGGTAAGATGGCACACAGAAATTATACAATTAAAAATATGAAACTAATTTATGAAATAAAGAGCAATTATGATCTAAAGGGTATCAAAATTTACAAAAAAAAAAAAAAAAAAAAAAAAAAGCTTAATATTTATTTGTTTACTTTATTAAACACTTCTTTCAATGTAAGTTGTTTAAGTTGCTTCGTTTTTTGTGCTAAACATGCATGCGTAAAGCAAACAAAAAAAAAAAAGTTTGTAGCTTTGAAATCCGGATAATGGATGCCCGGATTACAAACTTTGTACTGTATAAAAGTTTCAACTGAATAATTTGAAATTTAAATTTCTAAATCTATATTTTTTCTTAATATTGACTTCTGTTTGTACAAATTGTAATTAGTAAATATTTAAATTAATGGGAGTTTGTTGTATTTACTCAGCATATGACAGTTTTACTTAATTATTAACAGACTTGTAGATAATTTTTAAGAGCAAATTCATAGGACTTTTATATTTGCTGAAAACTTTTATAATTAATGTATTTGATATTGTATATCAGAATTGGTATTTATTTTGATACTCAAGATTAAATAACGATCAAGTCACTTTTAGGAAGATTTTTGGGTGCCTTAGATTTGTTTTTTCCGTCTAGTAATGTGTGCGGCTTTTTTTTTTTTTTTTTTTTTTTTTTTTTTTTTGAATAACGAAATAATTGTGTAATGAAATATTTCAGCTTTTAAATCAATATTAAATTATTAAGCTGTGAGTAATTAGAAGAAAATTTTACATTAAAAGCCCTCAAAAAGATTTATTAAAATTTTTTTTAAATTCACATTTGATAAAATTTATTCTCTTTCTTTACTTACATTAACTTTTTAACTTTTCCTTTATATGTATATTGGCATTTTAACATGATTTAGATCATCAGTTTAAATCTAGTAAGATGGCATGTAGCAATTATAAAATTAAAAATATGAAATAGTAGTTTATGAAATAATCAAGCATTCACGACCGTAAAGGAATCAAAATTTGCAAGAAAAGTTTGATATTTATTTGTTTGCTTTATTAAACATTTCTTTCAACATAAGTTGGTTTAAGTTGCCTCATTTTCTGGCTAATACTTTCTCTTTAATTCTACAGATAGATGCAACATCTTGTTCACTTATTATGATGTTCCATTACAAGTCTTGCAATTGTGGTACTGTAAATTTCCACTGAATTGTCAATTGAAATATTTTTGTTCTCAGCAACCTCCCTGTCACTTTCTTCACTATCTGTAGTATCTGTAATCTGAGTATGGTTTAAGAACCATACTCAGATTTTGCCATTATTAGTTGATTGTTGACTGGGGTATTGTCATTGTAAATATCATATCTTCATTTATTGCTACTTCTCCACAAAGTCAATTAATTGAGAAATTAAAATTTTTGTTTGCAATATCTGAAAACCTTCACATTCGCAGCTGTTGTCCTAAAGCTTAGCTAGCATGCATTATACTCTATTGATGATGTATCATGGATATGTTGTTCTTAATTTTGTGTGACTTCTGTTGAACGTTGACAAAATTAAACCTGAATTATATTAGGTAATTATTATACTTACACCTATTTCTCGAATATGCTTGAAGTTTATCTGAGACCTGAATAAACAAATTCCCATGTGTACTTAAGGGTTATACAGGGCCGATGCTAAAAGTTTTGCAACCCGGTGTCGTCTGTGTTGGTCCTAAATTTAAAAAATTTTGCCATCTCTAAATTTGGGATCCCAGTACCTTCTCTCAGTTCTAAAGATTTTGCCATCACTTAATTTTGTTGATAGGTGTTTCTCTAAATTCTAAAAATTTTGCCTCGCCCTAATTCTTCCCCCCTCCCAGTGCAGATGCATATCAGCTCATCAGGTCCTGATCTAATCTGTTTAATAAATTGGTTATTCTCAATTCAGACAGCACTAAATGCAATCTTTTGGCCTATGAATATCATTTACAAAATCAGTTTTGGCCATATAGAAGGAAATTTCTGTTAAATTTCTCTTCTTCAACACTTCACAGTGAAGTTAGTTGAAGATTGTAATTATTACTAAGCATAATGTGAAGATAAAAGTCTACAATGCTGTCTGGTATTCAGTTACTATATTAAAAGCACAATTATTTAGACTTCACCGCATGTTCATTTCTGAGGCTGCTGTATATTAATAGTTATGCAGTGAATGAAAGAAAAAAAAAAAAATGATTTGCTAGTTTGGAATCGGGGATGTAAATTATTCAATAACTGGAAAATGAAGGTTGTTTCATTGTAGAATGTTTTGGTTTGAGATGTATGCCTAGTAAAAAGACAGCTTGAAAGCCAAATTATTGATCATATATATTTAGGGTGATAAATGATCCTTTTTTTGAGTGTGGAGGTTTTTTTATTTAGTGCTGAATGAGGTGAAATTAAGAATTGGGATTCTCCACATTTTGTGATGAAAAAATATGAAATGCACTTAAATAAAGCATGCAAAAGAAATCTTAAAAAAAAATTGTTAACGTTTTACAAAATATGAAATCGATAATAAAACAAATTTCAAATGTGGGTTTCCAGATGCCCATATTCACAGTAGGATTACATCAATCAAAATTTGATGTCTCTAGGTACTGTTGTTTTATCATAATGCAAGAAACATACATACATCTATGCAGATTCTTCATTATTTAATTTCTTTAGATATAATACAGGGTGATAATATTTGGTGGCAACAGTTTGAAAAGTGAAATGGACATTCTAACTGATTCGATGCAAAATCGCAAAACGAAAGCAATAGTCCCTTAGAGACAAAGCCCCTTTGGACTAAAAAAATAAAAAAGAGAGAGGAGAGGGAGAGAAAAGTTGCTAAGTGCAGATTTCCTTCTGGATATTGGATGTCCGGATCTCAGATTTTGTACTGTATTGTTTATAACAGTCTTCATACTTGTCATTCATAATTCAGCCAAATGATGTTTAGCAATTTTTTAGTCATAAAGTTAACCTTTTTTTACTGATTGATATATTTATAAATTAATATATTTTAAAAAATATTATAAAATTGTATTTTACCATCTATTTATATGAACTGGAAGAGGACTTCATATATCACATAAGAGAATATATACATTGCATTCTTTAATAACACAAACACACATAAGTTGTAGATGGTGAGTTTTCAGTGACTGAACATGGGTTAGGTTTCCCACAAAATGGGTTTGCTATTTCTAGAATGATACCTTTTAGTTTGTGTGATGACTTTTTCATCGATGCTAACTCTCATACAAAACTATGAAAAATTTTTATTTTCCGTATTTAAACTTTCTACATGAATATAAAGTGTTGAATATATTTTGTATAAAATTGGACAACTTGAAGGAGTAAACTCTTAACAGTTTTTAATAAAAAAAACCACATTAAAATATAATACAAAACTTTTGAGTTTTAGCATTTAACTTTTTAAAGTTAAGTATTTAAGAGGTATCATTTCGAACAAACTACATTTTGTCTAAAATTGATAAAACAGAAGTGATGCTTTTTGAAACAGAACAGACTTTTGTAAAATAATATATTATGAGACAATCAAAAACTTCTCTAATTTGGTATTTAAAATGGGTACATGAATATTGTTATCGATGGATTACATTTATGAGCATTAAATATATTCTTGGAATTATTCTAAATTCAACGAGAATAAGCTCATTTGAAGACGAGTTGTTATGAAGCAATTAAATGTATTAGCCTTAATTCGCTGTGCATTATTTTTTAAAGAAACAATATAGCAAATATAAATAATATAGTGAATATAGAAAGAAATGTATTTTAGCACCTAGCACTCTAATTGGGAATTCTAATAATATGCTGCTTTTAAAAATTATGTGATTGTTAAGTCACTGATTTATGAATCCAAAACACTCCATGACCAGAGAATACACTAGAATTATGTGATATTTTCAAATCAAAGCATAAGAACTGATGTGTACATGAGCACATAGAGTTATCACTACCCATTGTACGAGAGAAAAGAATAAAAAAGTAGTAATGTTTATAATTAACATTGAACCATACAGTAAGTAAACAGATTAAATTTTATTTACAGTCAGCCAAGGTGTAGTGATAGTTTACATAAAGCTTTTTGCTATTACATACACTATCCATTTTTTGTCATGTTTTAGCCCCATCAGATATTTTGTCGTGCTTCTTATGTAAATATGAATCAGCTTAATTTACAAAATTTTTCTGTTAGGTCTCCTCTTTCTAAAGCTAAAATTGCTCCTGTATATTTTGCTAATGCTAATTATCTACCATCCTGTTAATTAGTTTATTTTCAACCTTCAACATTTCAGTTGTGAAAGCAAATAAATGTGGAGTTCACCCCCTTTTGTGTGTGTATGTATGTGTGCATATTTCATCATACCTTTATTTCAAATTAGTATATTCTTTATTATAGAACATTTCTGAATGTTTAAGCATCATGCTTTTAAATTTGGTTATTATGAATGTTTGTCTTTCTAGAGCATTTATGAATTAACCCCAAAAAGTGGAATTTAATGATTTTGTAATTTAATTATTTTGACAGGGTTGTTTGATACTCCACTTTTAAGAGGGCTTCCTGAGAAAGTTCGTCAAGAATTAGCAAAAGATGTACCTTTCCCTCAAAGGCTTGGAAAGCCTGATGAATATGCACATTTAGTCCAGTCAATCATTGAAAATCCCATGCTAAATGGCTGTGTAATTCGATTGGATGGAGCATTACGAATGCAGCCGTGAATAAAATATAGCAGTCTCATTTACAAAAGTGCTGAAGCATCAAATGCTGATCTTTGAGCATTTTTTAAATAATTGAATGATTGTAGAACATTGTGTAGTTTTTTATTGTAATTATTTGTTTACTTCTATAGAAAAATGCAATGTATAAAATGATAATAAAGATATTGCAGTTCAGTTGTGAGAAATTCTTTACACATCAGGCAAAATCTGGTCATTGATTATTTGATGAAAAGTGTGCTCAGGTTTTAAGCTACTTTGCAAACATGTATATGCTTTTGACATTTAAATTTGACAATTTTTGTGCTGCATTATTTATGACTACTTGCTAATTTTTTAACATTTAATTTTTCTTTGATTCACTTTTCATTGTAAATATCCTGAATACAATAAATTTGCACAATAGAGTATGAAAAATACAAGAATATTGAAATTTAAACTGTAATATTAAACTCGAGGTATGAATGGCAAATCCATCTACCTGAGATCTGTTTAAGTTTCTATAAGTTAAGAAAATATTTATATTATATGTCACGCATTAATATAAATTACAGAAGCAATATCTAAATTAAATAATATTACTTTGTGTAAAATGTAGTATTAATAACCATTTTGTGAATATTAGGATATTTAAGTCACTGATCAAATACAAAAATCTGATTTCTTTTAACTTATTGAATTGTTTGCCATTGTTTCATAATGATATTATTTAATGACCGTCAGATTAAGTTGCATTTCTTATTCAAAGATTGAAGCAGTGTTTTAATTGTTCTTAGATGCTTAATTTTGATCAGTAGTGGCATTGTCTTCATACATTAGAGTAATTAGTGAATTGGGTGTGTGGTGTGGTGGTGTATTTAATTATGGCAAAGCACACTAGGGCTATCTGCCTAAGAGGAGGGATGCCTTTCGTGGAGGACTTTCTAAGGGAGCTCGTATACACGTTACACATGGGGAAAACCACGAAAACACCCATGCAGCCAGCCCGTTCACGGGATTCGAACCTCGGACCGAAACTACCAGTGTTCAGCGACTTTACCACTCGGCCGTTGTTAGTGAATTGGGATTAAAGATCATGGTAGCTATAAAATTAGTGTTACATAGTAATAGAACAAGCATCAATATTAAATGTTCTTTAAATAATTATTATGCTATATTTTCATTTAGTTGAATTTTTGTAGAATTTTTAAATCTTATCTAATATTCCTCAAAATATGCAGAAAAAGAACAGAAAGATACTTATTTGTGTACATGCAGAAGGAATACTTTGTTTTTTTCCAAGTCAAAATATTTGTGTGCGTGTTCTCAAATATTCTCAATAAAAATTCCAAATTTCTTTAAAAAAAGTACTTTGCTTTTCATAGATTTCAACAAATACTTTAAAAATATGTTTGCAGTTTTGTATATAATTTATGAAAAATTGCTTATTAGATTTCTGATAATTTCAGATTTTTCTGGGGTTGGGGCTCTCAATCAGGGTGAATTTTATAGTTTCTGTGAGGAATGTGGTCAGCATTTTATTTATCTCTTTTTAAAGAAATCTGGAGTAGTCTATACCTTCTAATACTTTTTTAAAGTATGAATTTTTTATCTGAAAGAGAAGGAAAAATAAGAATGTTTTAAAGGGTTTATAGGATTTTATTTATTTTTATTTTTTCTCTTTATTATTCTGTTAAGATACAATAACACGCTGAACAAGTATTAATTTAGAAGTCAAACAACAAAAATCAGTGCTATATTTTCAAATTTTCACAGGACTAGTTATCTTATCTCGTTCATTTGCGCTTTTGCAGCTGAGGATGATAGTTCGGTAAAACTATCGAAACTTGTTTTTTCCCAATGGCAGATTGTGAACAGTTACAGTCTATTAATCTATACAAGGCCAGATATGGTGGCCTCTTTATTATGGAAGCATGTAATATGTGGGCTACTATTGCCTCCTATGAAGGGATGGACAGTTTACAACCATGTCTTCTCCGGGATTCAAACCCATTCCCCTCTTTATTGCAGTCAGGCTTCCCTAACCACTATACCGTCTGGGCGGCAACTATCCAAACTAGTCCTGTAAAAATTTGAAGATATAACGCTGATTTTTGTTGTTTGACTTCTAAATTAATACTATTCTGTTATTAAACAAAGGCCTTATATATTCTTAAGTCGTCATGATAAGCCTATGACGTGAAGACTTTTTACTTTTCTAACAATAGTTCCCTTTTCAGCCTTTTTGTAACAAATTTAAAAAATAACTTTAAATAACAAAATTAAAAAATCTAAAATTGAACTTTATGGATTTTCCTACTCATATCTACAAAACAATTATTAAAAACTTTTTGGGCACCTTCATGAGAATCTTTTTCTTTGTCAAAATTAAAATTTTCATTGAAGTATTTAAAAGTTTTCATTTGATTTTAAAATTCCAGCTTTTGTTTCAATTTTTAGCCTTTTGAGCGATTACTGTCTCGTCAAGGTATTTTAGTTTCACCAATGAAGCCAAAATGACAGCCTATACATCACTACTGTAACGATCTTATTCAATGTTCGATGGTGTTCTAATGAAAGTGCTTGAAGTTTTTAATTACTTCTTATGAGTTAAATCTTCACTGAAGTTTTATAATTTCATTTTCATTTTAAATTCTGTGGATTATATGCTTTTTGGTAAAGGTAAAATTTTGATTTGAATTTTTCACTGAAGTATTTTATTTTCGGGTGAACTATTACAATTAAAATACATTGAAATGGTTCATCGGCTAATTCTGGATACAAAAAAGCAAAGATTTGTGGAAGAGAGATTTCAATGTTCCTCCTCCTAACGAAGTGGCATTGAAGTTGATTGAATTCCTCTTCTGTTATGTTCATTTTTCTTTAAATTTTATTAATTTTTTTAATTGGGGTATTATTTGTTTGAAAAGTTTTGGTTTCACCATTTTTTAAATTCTTTATTGCATTTATAGGATTATTTGAAATTTATTAATTATGAATTTCAATTCTTGGTCTTTGTGAAAAATTAGTTCAAAATTTCCTTACTTTATGTCTCTACTGATAATTTTTCAGCAGCTTAATGTGCGAAAATACTAGGCATGTTTATATTTTGTTTTAAAAGAAATTGTTTTGTAATTATTTATATATATATGGAGCAAAAAAGTTTAAGAATCCCTGGTGTATAACAATTAGATAAAAATAAATTTGGTGTGTTGTTATGTAATATATACATGATTCACATTAATGTTACACCTTAAAAATAGTATTTTTTGATATTGTTTAGCAATATAGTATTTTGCTTATGTATCTCTCTTACTCCATAATTATTGAATCACTTTCAAGATAGGTAAAGTTTCTTGAACACATTAAAGAAATATACACATTTGTTAAAGATTCCATCATTAGATGTTGTCAACATGCAATTTTTTAAATAATTAATCAACATTCATAACCTGCATTCATAAAAATCACAGTTATTTGCAAGTTCTCAGATACTTCTGGTTATTGATTAATCACGTCAATGTATTTTTAAGTTCTGTTGTGATTTGTTTTTCATGGGACCAGCCCACATCACTATGAAAGTGTCGTCTGTTTTATTGCAAGGTAGTTCATTCCACTTTGTGATGATCTTAACCAACTTCCTTTGATGCTTTAATCACAGAATTGTTTATGCCATTTGAAGGAGGAAGTTGAAGAGTATGTGGTAGAAGTTGACCAGCTGGTGCTGAAACTTGCCTCAACAATCTCTTTGCTGTCATACAGTTTTTTAATGCTTCTTTAAAGTTTGGAGGTGAGTTTACCTGAAAGAGAATAAGATAGAATTAATAACATTTTTTCTAAACAGTTTTTAAGAAATACTCAGAATATCTTAAAAAGCTGTAATTTTTTTCTTGTTCAATAAATAAATAAATGTAATTTTGTTGTGAGCAAATGTTTAAACTATTGTATTGTTTATACTAAAATTTAATGATGTATAAATAGAATTCTCATTAACAGACATTCACAGCATCAAGGCATTTGTCCATTATCAAAATATATACCATGAATAGGAACAGACTGATCTCCTCTTTCAAAGTCTTATTTACAAACTGCCTGTTAATGGAGATTTGATTATAATAACTGAAATACACGTATGGGGGGAATGCCCGTATATCTTTAGATTGCTTTACAAAAACATTGTTATAATTTTCATTACTACTCTGATTTATTTAAAATGTAATTGATGGATAGTATGATTTGTTTAAAATATGCGCATGTTAAGAAATTGCTTGCAAAGTATTTTCAGAAGTTCTTTCAAATGGCCAGACACTTGCAACTCAATGCATTTGTGGGGAATGGCCAGTATCCATCAGTCATTAAGCTGTCTTATCACTGAAAGCACTGCATAGCAGGCATTACTAATGTTGACTGAATTACACCTGTGAGAAAGTGGAAATTTCAGTTTTGAAGGAGAACACCACAAGATGGATTTAAGGGACTTTCACTCCCTTTCTTCCTACTGCCAACTTCCCAGTTTTCCTCACTGAATCTCCTGCCTTTTAATTTTGAATTTTCAATAAGGAAAGCACTTTTAGTGATAAATGAATTTTATTATTTTATAATTTTTTGAATTAATGAAAGTTAAATTGTTTAAAATTTTCTCCCTCCTCTCCTAATGATCTTCAGCAAAATTTTTCTTATTAAATTTTTATTGTAGACATTTGTGGAATTTCATATGAAAATTTAACTAATATTTAATTAGTAAATATGTGTGTTTAATTGGTTTTTGATCAACCCGTGGCATACCTGCCAACTCTCGCATGTTTTTGGTATATCTTCTAGTTTTTAGTTTTTAGCCTTTATGAATGAAAGTGTTTTTCAGTAAGAAAATTAAATTATGCAAATAATATTTGCACAGTCTATTATTGAATTAATGAATCTTAAGTTGTCCAAATTTCATTCCCCAACCCCTAATGATCTTTAGCATAATTTTCCTTATTAAATTTTATTTGATGTATATTGTTTTAATATACTGTACAAGTAGAACTGTATATGAAGATTCAACCAAATTAGAAAATATTTTTATGTAATTTTGTTTTGATTAATATACGTATGGTTCATTACTAAGTTTATCTGTAATATAGTATGCACATTAATTTTTTTACCATGTTTAAAAGTATTTTGATTAATTTATCAATTTAATTTCTCAGGTTTTGAACGCAAGAACTTCTCTATTGTTCTTCTTTACAAAGTTGGCAGCTGTGCAAACTTCTCCAGAAAAACTTTTGGCTTGCCAGTATTTTTAAGTCCCTCTATAACACACATACACTGTATAATGAAATTTTCTACGGTATTCCACCCCGAACCCAACGATAGGGAAGCTAGAATAGCTAATCATTATACCTATCAGGGCGGCTGCAAAATGCAAACCAGTTCATTTCTAATGAATAAAGACATTTTGCAATGGCTGTTTCCCAAAATGTAAATTATAACTGAGCTTATAATTTGCAGTAGAAGTTTTATGATGCTTAACTTTTATCCCCATGAAATTTTTAATATTTAAATATTCAAAGCCCATTGAATATTTTGCTGTATGGGAAATATAAAGTCAGATTTTTTTCATTTTTTAAACTCTTAATACTCCCAAGGGTGATAATGAACTTTTTTGATACCTTATTGCGAGAAACGTTTTACTTGAAACTACATGTCCAGGATCGATATTTAAGAAAATAAAATCTGGTACTATTCGGTTTTGAGGGCCGTAAAAAATCGCCAAACTGTTATTGATGCCAATGCTGCCAAAAATAATTGCGGCGAGAAAAGAAGTATAACAGTAAATAACTATCTAAGATTGATGTTTTAATTTAGATGAAAGGTTAATTTCATATAATACTTTATTATTATTATAATTTATATGAAAAAGGCTAAACATGACTGAATGGAAGCTTAAGAGTAAATAACTATTTCAGATCATTATTATAATTTATGTAAAAATTGCTAAACATAACTGAATGGATGCCTGCATCGCTATTTCGCTACCGACATATCGCTAAAGCATCAAAAAAGGATTTAAAAATTAAACTAGTATTTCAATGTCGTCTTAAGAAATATAGAACTATATAAACTTACGCAATCTGAAACCAGTGCGTACGCTAGATTTGGCGCGCTGTTAGCAATTTTTTTACGGCCCTCAAAACAGAAGAGTACCTAAAATTTATATCTACATTATTTAATACCTTATTATATTTTCACATAACTGCCGTATAAAATCTATACTATTAAAATATATACGCGTCTCTCTGTCTTGTTTGTAGCATTACCTTCTCCGGAACGGTGAGGCGTTGATCTTCGAGAGAACTATCTCCCTCCCCCAGGTTCCAAACATTCGTGAGAAGTCATTTCGACCATTCTCATCTTCGATAAAAAGTCTGCTTTTTTTTCGAAAAGCGTTACCACTGCTCGTTTACAAATCGTATAGTTTCTTCATAAAAAATTTCTAAGTCTTACAAAATATGAAATAAAAATAACATTGCCAAACATTAAATATATTATTCCCGATTTCAAAAATTCGTGGGAAACCATTTCGACCATTATCATCTTCGAGCGACTTTAATCAGCCGAGATATTAAATTAAAAACTCTAAAACACGTTGCTTTTCTTACTCATTTTTCCGAGTGGCAACAGTCTTGGGCCCTGGAGATAAAAATTTGCTTTATTTCGAAAAATGTTGCCACTGTTCCCTTTAAGATCGTAGAATTTGTTGGTAAAAAATTTAAGTTTTACAAAATATAAGAAAATAGCATTGACAAGCTTGAAACATATTATTATACAAGGTCATATTCTGATGTTGAAGAAAGCACGCGATTGCACGCGACGTTATTGTATGTAGAAAATTTTTCGTTAATGTCAGCATTTTAAATAAATAGCTGCTGTTGCCAACTTTTTGAAGTGTCAAAAGTTTTTGTTTTCTGGTTTGGGAATAAAAAAAATTATTTACGAATTGGTTGTTGCTTGGAAAGAATGAACTTTATTTTTCAATGGCAGATTGTGAACAGTTACAGTTTTGTAACACAGGCCATTAATCTATACTAATGCCAGATGTGTTAGTCTCTTTATTATGGAGGCACCTCATAAGTGGGCCACCATTGCTTCCTATGAACGGATGGGCAGTTGCAACCATGCTTTCTACGGAGTTCGAACCCAGTCTCTTCGGTATCGCAGTCAGGCTCCCTAACCACTATACCGTCTGGGGGACGGAAAGAGTGAACTGATTTCATTCATACTGAAATGTTTTTATATGTTTTCTTTTCAGAGTGTATATGTAGAACTTATAATCTTTGCTTTGGCTGTAGCCCAGTCACCTGGCGGGCTGGCCCGCTAGTAGCATTTGACAACCAACGTAACACGTTTATTTCATTATTTAATGTTTACAGTCTATGTGGATTAATTTAGCATGTTACATAATGTTGTACTATTGAATCGAATCATTTATAATACTTTTTTACTTCCTTGTAAGAAGTAGAAAGGAAGTATTGTAATCGCGAAAAATTTCGGGTATCATATTTCAACGAAAATATCCATTGTGACGGCTATCGAGAGCAATTTAACGATGTTTTTACGCGACTTCTGCACGTAAGGGCTGAATAAAGGACTCTTCCCCCGAAAAATATATATATATAAAGCTGATTTAAAATGAATTCTGAAGATAATTTTTCGTGGCATCTGTGCGTACGTACGTACGTATCTCGCATAACTTAAAAACGAGGGTGCTACTTTGGTAGACGGTTGCACGGATTTTTGGCGATTTACGTTGGCGCGATTTCTACAAACGTCAGCCATCTTGAAAAACGCTGTTTTTACGCATAGTAAAGTATTCGAAACTTAAAAAAAAAAAAATAATAAATATCGTTAGAAATAATGGATTAATTTTTTTTTTTTTTTTTTTTTTTGAAAATGTCGTTTTTTAAGATGTAAATAAATACATTATTTACATCTTAAAAAACAAGTAAAGTGTAAATAAATACATTTACTATGAGTATAAAATACTAAAGTGAGGTATTATTACTTTCATATAGCAAAGAAGAGAATAAAAACCCCGCTATAAAAAACATTGGGCCAACGTTTAATTAGATTAAACTATTCTGAAATTGAATATCGAATTAAAACCATCATACCAACATTTAAAAGAATTAGAATATTATTAAATTTAAATACTTTAAAATACGTTATATAGAATATAATTAACATTAAAACATATGGACAATAATTATCTCAGCAATTTCTGAAATAGTGTATTAATTTTTTTAACAAAAATTGAAGTATACAATTATAAAATAAAAGAAAAATATGTACTTACATTTTTTTGAGTGTTTAACCTGTTGTTTATTGATAAGTCCCACAATAAAAAATCAGAATCATAATTCAGATAATATCTTTGAAGACATCTTTGAAGGAATTCGAAGATATAAATTAAATTTTAAAACGGCGCGGAAATGCACAAATTGTCAGTAACCAATCAGGGAGCTGATTACAGCTCGTTAATGCACAAATATTCTATAACCAATCAGAGAGCTTATTATATCACGGCTAGAATTAAAATTATTTAAAAATTCATCATCATACAATCACAATTTTTTTAAAAAATGCAAAATTAAATTGTATTTTAATAATATTTAAGAGCCATAAATAATGTTAAAACATTAGATTAAATTTATACATATTAAAACGAATTACTTTTAAAGTACGGTGACGTCATTGATTACATCATCCACAACATAAAATTTCATAAAATATGATAAACAATAAAATTTTTATTTCAAATAAAAATGCAAAATTAAATTGATGTTTAATATTTAAAAGCCATAAATAATATTTTAAACACGGAATTTATGCACAATAAAACGCACTATTTTTTAAATAAAATGACAACAAAGTATCGGTTACCATAAATAACTTATCCAGCAATGGGTTTACCATAAGTTGTATTACTCGCCAAAGGAAAATCGCCAAAATCCGTGCAACCGTCTACCAAAGTAGCACCAAAACGAGTAGCCTCAAGAACGTTGAAATTTTGTATGTGGAACTGCTATAACATGTAGATGTGCACCTCGTATTTTGGTTTCAAAATAGGCCGCACCAAAAGTGTATTAATATATGTATATATATATATATATATCCACTCTGTTATTCGGCTCAGTAAGCTCAGTTTCTTTTTTCTTATATGTTTGTAAATTGTGCATTTTTTGCTTTAAAAATGATTGAATTATGTTGTTCTTATCTTCCGGTTAAGGTTTTTATGCCTTTAATAAATTTGCATGCAATATTTGTAAAATTATCAACAATTTAAAAGTTGTTTAAGTGCGGGCTAAGCCTAATTGTTTTTGGCATGGCGGCCATGTTTGTTTACATTTGAAACTTATCAAAAGAGTGGATTTGTTGCCAATCTAGAGAAAGTAAGTTTCGCAACAACAAAAAATAATGCCCTCATTTATTACTGCGAATTAAACCATGCTTAATCCATTCTGGAATTTTATTCGAGGAAATAAATGTTTAAGATATACTTCGTAATTTTTAATATAGATATTTTGAGTTTTTATGTATTTTTGCCTTGTCGCGAAGTGAGAACTGAATTAATTTAATGAAAAATACTGTATCGTCCGTGAAAAAAAAATTTTTTTTAAATTTCTTTTATACATCGTTTTAGATTTATTATAGTATTTGAATAGAATATGTGGCAACGATTAGATAATTCTTCAGATGATATAAATTTTGTGCTTTCTGAGTTATAAAGTCTGTTGGAAAACTGCCAAGATTGTCCCTCTGCTAAAGCCCAACAAGCCTGCCACTGCTCCTGAGAATTACCGACCAATCAGTTTGCTAAGCTCAATTAGCAAAATCGTGGAAGCAGTTATTCTCCATAGACTAAACATCTTCCTGGATGAGCAGAAGATCCTCATACCCTATCAGTTTGGGTTCAGGCGTAAGCACTCGACAACGCATCAACTCTACAGAGTTGTTGAGTTAATAAGCAGTGGGATGCAACAACATCGTGTCACTGGTGGACTTTTCTTAGATGTCGCCAAGGCGTTCGATAGAGTATGGCTGGATGCCCTCATATACAAATTATACAACCTGGGACTCCCAGGCTACATCACAAACATAATTAAATCCTACCTAACCGGTAGACCACTTTGTTGTTCATGTTTTCTGGTTCATTATCCCACAACCGGCCTGTACGAGCTGGTGTTCCACAGGGATCCCTTCTGGGCCCTACCCTATTCAATATTTACGTGAACGACATCCCCACTACACACAACACAACACTAGCCATGTATGCAGACGACACAGCGATCCTTACGCAAAGTGCATTTGTTAGTTCAGCAATACAACAGCTACAACATCACATCCACTCGCTAAAGACTTGGCTGACCAAATGGAAAGTCAAAGTGAATGTCGACAAGACACATGCCATACTGTTTACTACTAAGAAGAATTTCCCAACTCACCTGCAAATGTATGGTGTGGACATTCCCTGGGTCAAGCAGGTTCCTTATTTCCTTATCTTGGGGTGATCCTCAGTAAATCTCTTACATGGAACCCGAACCCACACGTTACACATATTCTCAGGAAGTTTCGAGCTAGTAAAGCTTCACTCTTCCCCTTAATTGCTCGAAACAGTGTTCTATCTATTGATAATAAGTTGCTCATTTACAAAACCATGGTTGCGTCCAATTCTTAGTTATGCATGCCTCGTCTGGGCATACTCGTGCAAAAGTTGAGAAGGCAGTTACAAGCTGCCCAAAACGGGGTATTGCGTATGAATATGCAATGCCCCCTGGTACATTCGGAAATAGCCTAAATTCGTAAAGAGTTAAGAATAGAGGATCTTTGTGATTTTTTTTGCCGCCTATCTAGGGCAATTTATGATAAACAGGAACTTCTGGACAATCCTGTGGTTGTTAACTCTTGTTATGATACTAGGGACCCCAATTTCAGTAAACGCCCAAGGGCGATCCTAAATGTTAGTATTAAGTAATTTTGTATATTGTGTTATGCAAATTGTTGCTCAGATTCTTTATTGTATTGTTTCTTTTTCCTCCTGGTTGCATTTGTTTTTTACTAGTGGCACTAAGGCGTCGCACTTCGTATTTTGTTTCTCTTGTGTGTACATGTATTCTTCTGTGAAATAAGTGTTAAAAAATAGTTAATTATGTATGGATTAGTAATTAGGTACTTAAGGAAAAAAATATGTATTTATTTAATTATTTAGCACATTCAGTTATATTTCTCATAATTCGAAACTTTTTTCATGTTATTCGGTGAGGGGTAGGGCTATGCGCCCAGGCACCCTGGTGGTTAAGCACCGCAGTTCCATGTATGTATGTGTAAGTTATAAAGTGAATGAAATGTAACTCTGCTAAGTGAACTTAGCGCGAGAGTGTCACTATGGTAAAGAAACATATTAAATTTTAAAGAATTTATTTATTCTATTCTGGTTTATGCGCTATCAGCGAAGTAGGTTTAATTCTATCCAATAAGTTTAAATAAAATGCAAGAAGAAATGCGTGTAATTTAATATTCCGTGCAAGAAAGTCGTATGGTGTACGCATCAGATTTTTTTTTTTTTCTTCTGATATTAAACAAAATTTAAACTAAACATCTACTTTTAACTGCATATGGATGCATGCCTATTCAGATGCATCCATATGCAGTTAAAAGTAGATGCCTATTCAGGTGCATCCATACGCAGGAATGCACGTAAAATGATAATATTACTAAAATAAATGCATAATAAAATGATAATATTACTAAAATAAATGCACGTAAAATGATAATATTATTATGAATTTAATTATTTTCAAATGAGAACGTTTATGTATTATTGAGTGGAGAGTGAGTGTAGTTAAATACATATGGGCGCGTATATTCTGACACTGGCAAGCATACTAAATTTTTTACTTACATCATTTCCTGAGACTAAAGCATCATCATAAGAGGGAGGTTTGTCAGTTGTTAGATCTACTGATATGCGGCCCTGTGAATTTGAGTTCGTCTGTGTAATGGATCTTCTTTGTCCGTCCGAATTTTGCTCTCGACAGGACCTGTATAAAGACAAAAATAGAAGTGCAAGTTTCAGTTTGAGAAGAACAAAATAATAATGAAGCTAAACATTTTCAGGATTCAGTAGTTCAAATTAGGCACAGTAAGCGGCTGAGCGGTAAAAGTCGCTGAATACTGGTAGTTCAGTCCGTAGTTTAAATCTCGTTGAACAGGCTGGTTGCATGAGCATTTTCGTGTTTTTCCGAAATATGTAACTTAAATACCAGTTTGTTTCCCTTAAAAGTCCATCACAGGGCATCCCTCCCTTTGGCGGATACTACTGTGTTCGTCGCCGTTATCACTAATTATAATAATAAAAGTAGTTCAAATTACAGTTGAGAAAAAACACGCGCATTGGCCACTCACTTAAAAGTATTTTTGTTGGCTTAGGTAAAATAACCGTTTCATTGAGTGATTTTTAAATATAGATATAATAATGTAATTGATTTTTTTTTCTTTTTCTTTAATAATGTTTGTACATTAAAAGGTCACTCATAAAAAATAATTTTAGCTGTACCTTCTATAATCGGTTATTCATTTGGTTGTCCGTTCCATAAAACATTCTATTAATTCATGTTTTACATTAACTTTAAAAAATACAATTTAAACGTGGTCCTCTAGCAATCACTAGTATAACGAGTCAATTCTGGCATTTTCAATTGTTTATTTCAGTAGCAAAGATATTTTGTTAGAGTACAATACGAGAGATTTAAGTTTAGGATAGACACATCCGGAAAGCAGTGTTTCGACTCATCAAGCACTTCCCTTAGTAATTCGAAGTTCAACATTATAGAAAAAAGTAAAATATAAAACATTCTTTCATTATTTGTATTAATAGTCCAAATGTTTGTAAAAACTATCAGTTAAGATTTAAATTAATGAGACGTATATAAGTTATGTTTTTATATTTAAAACATTTAAATTATTAAGAAGTATGCTTATTATTTTAAAATTTTACAACTCATTAGGCATTTACTCTGAAAGATCAATTAAAAATTTTATATCGAACCGAGTAGAACTCTCAAAAGCTGGCCATTTGAATAGCCCCTTAAATGTCTAAAAAACTTAAAGTGTTGCGAAAAATCGAAAAATATCCCAATATAAAAAGATGCAGGTGTTTGTAACAAAAAATAGGCCATAAATTATTTATTCAAGCGAATTACGTATGCTGCAGAGCCGGCGGTAGGAATTTTGCTGCTCCGTGAGACATCTGCAGATCCTTCGTTGCTAGGTATTTCTCCAAGTTCCAAAAATTTTGCCGCCTTAAATTCTTACCGACCCCACCGATTCCTATGGCGCCGGCACTGCATTTAACATAAACATGCTTAATTTTCCTTAGTTTTTTGTTAAGATCTTTGATGCTAATGCATTCTTTATTACAGATTATTACAATAATCTCATAAAAAGGAGAAAATTCTAATTAAAAATTTAAGACACTCGTCAAACATTCATACATTTATTTGCTGTTTCCCTTAAAAGTATCTGCATGGAATAGTTCATTTTGCTATGTGATTGTGATTTCATAGATTTCTCTAATTCCAGTTCTACTGATTGCCCTCGTGCATGAAGCGTAAGTCGTAAATGATAAATGAATTTTCCAGCATTCTTTGAAGTCACTCATTCAAGTTTAAATTTATCATCGCTTCTTTCTTTTGATTCTTTCTTTTGTTGTTTTGATAAAATTACGAATCCTCCACTGTCGTTCTAGATTTAGTTATTATTATCAGTAACTTGAGAATTTTAAATTGTCTTCATAGTTCTTCAGGATTCGGATGCATTTCCAACTGTTTTTAGCATTTTTATAGACGAAATCATAAAACAATTTTCGTGTATGTGGTAAGAGGTTTTGCTTCGTCTTATTCACTTTCCGTCAATCATTTGCAATGAAACTCAGTGCATAAACTGAATATTGATTATAGGCAATGTATTTACTTCAAGTGCACATAAATTGTGCGTAACAAACTTCTTGCGATAAGGGTGTATTTAAGGGAAGGAATGATGACAGTGTGCCCACCATGGAAGCTGCGAAAGAACAAAGAATTTTAGACAAAGGCAGATTTTTTTAAAAGTGGCATCTGATCTAAAGATATTTTAAGGAAAGGCACCTGAATCTCGTTCAAATGAACTTTATTGCCCATTCATTGGGATCATTGTAAATAACTAGCTAATCTTTCGATCAATAGCATTTCATTTATACTCATTGTCAAAAATGTTCTCTTTAGCTGTTCGGGTTCCCAAAATGGACCAGTTGATAAAAAAACATTGTTGTAGCGATAATAGTTCGTCACATATTGAAATCTCCGTGAGATCGCTTACTCCGTGAGTAATTTCCTATTTTTTCCGTATATGACGTGAAATGCGAATAAAATTTTCTTAGAAATTTCTTCAAAAAGACTTTCTTTTCCTTAGGCAGGTAATCTTCCTCGTATTTTAAACAATTAACCTTACCTAACCTAAGATGCGTCAGCGCATACTGATTTCGTAACTTATATATTATCTCAACTACCTAAGTAGAAGCAGCCAAATTTTCCGTGTGTATCAAACAGTGCCATCCATGCTCATAGAGTCTTTCAGGCAAGTATAACGTCACCATTTGCATATGCGTTCTTTTTGTATCTCAAGTCCAATAGTTTTTTTTATTTTTTTAACAAAGCTTAATATTTTCCCCCTTAAACTCAATTTTAAAATATGCGTGTGTGGAATTTTCCAGAAATGGGAGGGGTAAACAAAACGCACACACAAAAAAAATAAATAAATAAATAAATAAATAAATAAATAAATAAATAAAATAAAATAAAATAAAAATAAAAAATATCCTGCTGGAAAATTTCTGTAGGAAAGCATTATTTTGCAGCAATATCTCTAAAAGGGATAATGATGAGAAGCGTTTAGTAGACAGGCAGCGCGCAGAGCCGAGTTTATGATATTCTCTGTCTTTTAAAGTGGAAACAGATGGCAGGGAAAGTAGCTAAAAATATTGCAGAAGGATTTCGAGAAAAATGTGATTTTGTTTAATGTATCATTTAATTCCTATTTAATAATTAAATTTTTTATTTTAAATTGATACAGTGTGCGTATTTTTGATATGTTGATAATGTTTGCCGACTTACGATGAATATGGATAGTTTGGGAAGTTTTTAAAAGGGTGAAAATCGCCAGCTTGCGCCAAATATGTAACTTTTACCTTTCATCTGTAAAAATCGCTAAATTACGCCAAGATGGTTACGTTAATACGTAAGTACCCTGATTTCTATGAAAATGTACGGGAATTCCAACCCCGGCGCAGACTCAAATGCAAAATATCTCAAAAAGCATATATACAGAACATTCATGATCATAACGCACATATTTAATTTTACCTAATAATTTTCTGCACTGTAGAATTATTGCAGCGCTCAACTTTCAATAAAACTGGAAGGAATATTGATCATTTTCATATGCAGCCTTCAAATGAAGCAGGTTTTCTCAAGGTGTGTTAATATGTACACCAAAGCAGAACACAAGAAACCGTCAAGAGATACATGACTAACAAATTTTCAAGAGAACCAAATGTGGTAAAAAGTTTTTGTAGCGATCAGTCGCCTCGAAATATGGGAAATTTTCAATTTTTATTTTTTAACTTTTAGTCGAGTTTATTCACCATTCGTATGTAATATGTACTTTAATTGTCTGCTAGACATACTTTAGTTCGCTGCCATCTGTACTTTTTTTAAATGGAAGAGATGATTTTCTAGAAGAATTTCGTAGAGGATGGGAGTTCATTAAATTTTTAGTCTTGATGAAGAGGTATAAAGGTCTAGGAACCACTAAATTACGGCACTGGAATATCCAAAAGACATTTTAAGGCATTAGTTTTCATTATCTGAATTTTTACTTCATTTGTTAAGTTCACTGCAGTTACAGTTTATATCTCTGCTCTCGCTCGAGAAATTTAATGTTTTGTTGTTAATATTTTTAGCCTCATTTTAGCATAATTTATAAACCCGGTAAGTTCGAATCATCATGACCGACCTTAATCATAATCGTCATAATAATTAAGATTATAAAGGGGGTTAAATTACTATTGCTAATCAAAATTTCGATACACTTATTAAAATAAAATAAATTGGCCCGAATGTATGAGATGATTTGCATTTTTTTAAGTTACTCAGGTGTGATAGGGGAAGAGATGATTTGCATTTTTTTAAGTTACTCAGGTGTGATAGGGGAAGAAAAAAAAAGGTTTTATGTTTAAGACGATAGTCACATATTAGCCCTCTACATGAAAGATAATTAAAGGCTATAAATATACCTTGCAATAAAACTTCACAAGTATGTTTTTTAACGTTACAGTTAAAGAATAAAGGATAGCATATCTTAGCACACTTTCCTTAGTACACGCATATTCCGGATCGCCAATTTCAAGACAAATCATTTGTATTCGTATCTGTACAAAAATCGTATCTATACATCTGTATCTGTACAAAAAAATCATCTGTATTTGGTGTAATACGAAAATGACTGCATAATATGTTTCTAGAATATCAGATTTACCTTTTTAGTGTGACCCACAATGACACCGCTACAATGAGGATGATGATGCAAGTAACGGCAATAAGACCGACTCTGTACATTTCTTGACTTCTGTTATATGTGATTTCGCCTGCAAAGAAGGAAAAAGCGAACAAATTAATCTTGGTAGTAAAAACAAAAATTGAAAAGTCTGATGTGGACACCACATGACTTCCTTGTACGGCCCATTAAATTATACTCATTTTTTGCTGCACTTCATTTAAACTTTATTTCCTCGAATTTCATTAGAGATATATTTCTCATTCAGTTACTTCAGTTCTCACTTCATGGCAAGGCAAAAATACATAAAAATCCAAAAACATCTTCATTAAAAATTGTAAAATAGAGAAAAATATAAAAAAACCAAATGCATTTAAAAAAAAAAAAAGACAATTTGTACAATTAAAATCAGAATTTCTACACAAAAACAAGCAATTCAACCACCGGGGAAGAAGACAGAGTTTTCTGTGCACAAAACTGAAAGTTTACTTTTGGTCTCACTCCACAAAAAGACACTGAAGTTGGTGCAGAAACTGACTTAATTCACAATTCTACCAAGAGTTTCAAATGTAAACAAATGGCGACTTCTTTAGTCTTAGCAGTACTTGAACAACTTTTAAATTGTTGATAATTCTGCAACTGTTGCATGTAGATTAACTAAAGGCATAAAAACCTTAACCGCAACATAAATAATTCAATTACTTTTAAAGCAAAAATTGCACAATTTACCAATAGAATAAAAAACTGAGCTTACCGAGCCGGGTAACAGAGTGAACATATACACTGACTACCAATAAGTATTTGGACACCTGTGAAGAAAAGAAAAACTACTTTATTCAAATCAATAGTTGGTAAGCCTCCACGAGAGGTATTACAGCAGGAACCTCCGGGCATACTTTTCACAAGTCTTTGTATACAGCTAGGGGTATTTTTCTTCCATTGGCTTGGAGAAGACTTGAAGTTCCTTCACCGATTTTTGCACGGGTACTGCACCCTGAGTTCGGCGATGCACTCGTCCCAGAGTTCTCGATAGGTTCAGCTGGACTCTGGTCGGCCAGCCATTCGATGAACTCCATTGGCACCATACCAAGCCTTGGTTAAGTCGAAACATGACAACTGGGCATTGTCGTCCTGAACGTAACAGGGGTCCAACCCGTAAACTGCCACAACGCAGGAAGAACATTGTAATCCAAAATAGTTCAAAAGCATCGGAGTTGAGCTTACCATGAATGGGACCAAGTGGTCCTAGCCCATACAAGAGAAACACCCCCAGACCATAATTCCACTTCCACCTCCGCCGCGACTTGACTGTTGGCACAAGCATTCGACAGGAGACGTTCTCCAGGTAGACGCCAGACCCAGACCCTGCTCCATCCGAACGGTAAAGGGTGAACCTTCATTCGTCACTCCAAAGAACCCGTTTCCACTGATCTACGGTCCAATTTCGATGTGCTTTGCACAACATAACCGAGCAGCGCGTTGGACTTTTATGATCGAAGGCTTATGGCACAGCACGACCGTGAAACCAAGCAGATGTGCTTCCTTACGGATGGTATTCATTGAAACAACACTCCCGGATGCCTGTTGAAACTCCTCACGGATGAGGCCATCGTTGGGTTCGGTTCTTCCGATTCTCTGGACGCATCGTCGGTCTCTATCTCCCAGTTTCGTTGGTCTGCCGACTCGGGGCACATTAGACAATCACCGCTCACCTTCCACTTCTTAATCACATAGGACACTGTCGATTTGGGGTACTTCAGATAGCTAGATATGTTCCCTTAAGGATCGGCTACATTTGTGATACCCGATAATTATACCTTTCTCGAAATCAGAGAGCTCCGAACTGCGAGGCATCTTGCATGCGACCAAAGCCGATGCTGTTTCCTGGAGTCCGTGACGTACCTTAGGACCGCAGATATCGTCATTTGCATAGGTTTCCAAATACTTATTGGTAGTCAGTGTATATATATATAGGTATATACACACTTTTAGTGCGGCCGATTGCAATTAAAAAGGGAGGTTACTACCACGTGTTACTATAGTTAACTACATATTATAGTAGTCCTATACACAAAAGATGTTTCGCCAGGGTATTTGTAAAGGAATATAGATATTTCACCGTACTATGAATTTGCTGGGAATATGATTTCAATAGGATAAAGGCTAAGAAAACTAGATTAGAATTCATTCAGGGGCCAGCCAACTTTTTTTTTAATGAACTGACATGTCCGATGTGATGAATGGTTTGTTCTTCCTGAGATTATTCAGTTTATGGCAATAAAACTAATATTTCAAAGATTTAAGGTAAAACGCTTACCTTTCAACCCCCCCCCATCCCCGATAAGGATTCGAAAGAGTGAGACGTTGAATGAGTGAATGATCCCCAAATATCCGAGTTTCCGAATCTTTTTCAAGATTCGTTGAATGGAATGCAAGGATTCGAATGTCCTATACCGATTTTTTATAACTATTTATGAAATGATAGATTCATTTCAGATTACCCTTTGCTGAGTGCAGGCATAAATATAGCAGTTATCATCCAATATATACAGAATGATCCAAGTCAAATGTTCATGTTGGGATGGCATTTGTAATTGGAGATCACGTAGAGGGCAGAAGTTTGCATCACGCTTTCTCAGTCTTAACATCTGAACTAACTTCAATATATTATGATCTTTTGTTCATTTCAGAGCTCTGCCACAAAACGTTCATAGTTTATACAGACTCGTATAGTGCGCTGAAAGCGTTAGAAGCTTTTCCCATTAATCAGAATCCCGGAATAGTGGATGTTCTGAAGATAAACATAAGCTTAAGGCTTCGGGGATATAAAATCCTTTACTGCTGGGTTCCCGGGCATGCCTGAAAAAGGGAAATGAGCTGGCAGATATCTCAGCGAAATCTGCTGTTGAACTGTCTAGTCGCCTAATCCCTTTTAGAGATATCTGTTGTATCATCAAAGAGAAGATTCGAAAAAAATGGTAGCAACTTTGGGACGTTTAGCTTCATAACAAGCTGAGAAGTGTAAAACCTAGAATTGAGCATTGGGAATTTGCTAAAAGTAGTAGGGAGGAATTTCTTTTGACTCGACTCAGAATTAGTCATACTAGAGTGACACAAACTACCTTTTGAAGGCTGAGAATGAGCCTATTTGTTTAAATTGTAATGTTTGTCTATCAATCATATTTTAATTGAGTGTCCATATTTTAATAGTCTTCGTCAGAAATATTTTAATAGCTGTGACTTACCTCTCGACCGTTTAATCGGAAGACAGGCCAATTGTAATTTATTTTATTATTTAAAAGAAACTCACTTTTATAACCTAATCTAATTTGATTTGAAGATTGTGCATTGTATTTTAATGTTTACCACTTGTGTGCTTTTTATCTTGTTTTTATGTCACTTCATCCTCTAGATTTGATACATGTGTCCACCTTCTTATTTTATTTACTAATAATTTGTTTTAAATTCATCAAATTAGATCACATTACTTCACGTTTGGCGCATTATAATCATCTTTGATTTTGCGCCAATAATCTCACTCATCCCATCCCATCCCATTTCAGATGACCAAACTCACTCTGTTTTTATGAAATAATATTTTTGAAATGACCCCCATCGACACATTAATCATCAAAATTTGTATCCAATGTATTATTTGCAATAACTTTCAAAGCTGAAATACAAAAGGACACATATTATTATTATCATTATAATTATTACTAAATTAATCACCATTATAAAATGACACTTCCAGCACTTACTAATAGAGACACATCGTCCTCTCCTATCTCTCGCCCAAGGCGCACAAATGCACACCGACTTGCACAGGGATTTCGGATCCACCAAGTGTATACACTGTTCATCATATTCGCATGGATCATAAAGACTGTAAACTAAAAGAAAAGAAATCAGAGCTATAGTAATTAAATTTGTTATTTCTCTTTGCCACGCAACAATACAAATATTAAAAACTATTTTCAAGCATTTTTAATAACTATTTATTTGATCTCTCGTTAGAATTATGTTTATTGTAGGTAACAGTATAACATTATTTCAGCCTACTGACGGGATTCTTTTAGTTCAAGCTTATTCTATCTTTTCTCATTTCAAATTTTACAATATTAAAAAAAGGGTTGAAAATTTCTAATTCTCTACTTAGTACTCTTTATACCCCCCCCCCCCCCCCCCCCCCCACCCCCCCCCCCCCCCCCCCCCCCCCCCCCCCCCCCCCCCCCCTCCCCCCCCCCCCCCCCCCCCCCCCCCCCCCCCCCATATAATTAATATATATAATATAGTAAAAAAAGTAGAGAGAGAGAAAGAAGGAAAACCGGAAAAAGGTAGGTTCACGTAGAATTTGTTAATATATTAATTAATTAATTTTTTAATTCCTCTCGTATTTCTTAATATTGATAAATGCCTTATATAACATAAAACACTTATATGTGAGCTATTTCTCTTTTAACATTTATTTACGAAATAAATACTGCAATAAGCTAAATTTTGAATCGGAGCTTACCGTGAAAGATGGCCCAGAAGCCGAGCTGTAAAGTCACTGAACACTGGTAGTTCGGCATGCGCTTGATTTTAGGCAAACGGGCTGGCTGCATGAGCGTTTTCTCGGATTTTCCGATGTCTAATGGGGATGTGAGCCAATTTCAATTAGAAAATCCTTCACGAACGCGTCCCTTCCCTTAGACAGATAGCCTTTGCTTCCTTTACCTTAATCAAATAAAACCAAAACAAATCCCGCGAAAGATTCAGCTGGAGAGCCGCATATTAGTCAGATGCATGAAGCCATTTCTTAAATAAAACTTCTCTCAGAGCAAAACTTCAAGAATTTATAACTTCTCAGCTCCCAAATTATATTTGGGAGCTGAGAATATTTTATATACCAAATTACCAAATTATATTAAAAATATATACCAAATTATATTAAAAATTTCGGTTAAATTAGAAAATTTTCTTTTGAGATTTATTATTATCATTATTTTAAAAACTTTTGCAGGAAAATTTGAAGTCATTTTTGCAAATTTTTTATAGTTACTCTCTATTTCCCAATTTATCAAAAAGATTTAAGTAAGAGCTATGATAGTGTGGAAAAAAAACATTTTTTTTTTTTCTTTAAAGTTAGCCTAATATTACGAAACATACTATTTATACATTATAAAAAAATTCAAGTTGACTGTTTGGGTAAATTTTGCTGTAGGTATGATTTTTTAGATATGACCAAAGTTTTAAATCTCTTAATCATTAAGAATAACACTATCATGGAAATGATTAATCTCGCTTTCGTGAATTCCTTTTGTTAGCTCAACTTTGGTGGGTTACGGCTGACAAAATGCATATCTTTAATAATTTCTATGAGAATAGGTCATGCAAATTGAAACAAACGATTTCCAAAACAAATTAATAATTCTGGTACGCAGCTGAGACAAAATTATATGAGTTAAATGGTGCTTTTGAAAATGAGTTATATTTTAGAAGTGTATCGAAAAGAAAATATTATTTCAAATTAAAAAAAATTTTCTTTGAGATTATTCACTAAGAGATAATCTAATGTATTATGCCGTAATGTATTATTATGTGTACTACTAACGGTAAATTACATTATCTTTTATTGGTACAATGTGTACGACTAACGGTAAATTACATTATTTTTTATTGGTACACTGTGCGGGGGGGGGAAAGCGACAGTTCTATATCTTCCGTTCTACAGATCCGATTGACCAAATTCAACTTGCGTTTTTCATGTCTCGAAAGCGCGACTTAGGATATGTATTAGATTTATATACAGCATTGTTCTAATATAGGTATTTTCACACAAAATGGGACATTTTCTGAAATGACATGCCAATATTTTTCCATATTTCAATTCTACGACTCAAATTCTGCTAAGTTTTGTAAAAATCGCAAGAATAGTTTTTAAAAAATTAGCCCTCAAAATTTTAGCTCCTCCATGTTAATTGAGTTTGATATATATTTATTAATACCTCTTTTTTATTAAACTTATTTGATTCTTCCTTTCATATTTCGAAATTAAGGCTCATTCCAAATAAAATTCGCCTGTTTTTTATTATTTATTTTTTAAATTTGTATTTTTAAATGATTTTTATAAATTTTTCGGAAAATAATTTGAATTATAAAAGTTTACTATCATCTTAAAGTAGATGTATTTCTAAGCATACCTGCAAAAAATTAGAGTTTTTTATTCATGCTTTCACAAGATATGCGTGAATTTACATTTTGGCACATTTTGAAATTTATAAGCGATAATAATGCCAAATGTGGCTTACGCACTTTGTTAAAATTATTTGAAAGTATGAACAACGACTTTTTTTCCGCTCATGGGCAATGAAGAAAAAAGAAAGGAAAATAGGTTGCTATAAATTAAGAAGTTCGCCAAGTGAATTATTCTTAGCGCAAACTGAAAAAAAAAATCGCAAGATAAATTTTTAAATTTCTCCACAAATTTCGCACCAAAAATTACAAAATTTAATATCTAGGCATAATATGAGTCATAGAATCGAAATATGGAAAAAACTGGTATGTTATTTCAGAAAAATGTCCGATTTTGTGTCAAAATACCTATGTTAGAACAGAGCTATAATCCCAAAACGCGCTTTCGAGACACGGAAAACGCAGTTTGGATTTCAACAATCGGCCCAGTAGAAAGGGAGATATAGAACTGTCCCTTTATTTTTTTCCTTCCTCAGCGTACAATTTTAAACAAAAGATTTAAATGAATATTCGGAATTAATGTAAAATAACTCCTCTTTTAATAGTATATTGATACATGGTGGTGCATATATTTTTATTGTTATTTATATGGCGCAAAATTTAAAAAGTTTCAAAAGTGTTGTCCTACACGATTTAAACAAATTAATGAGATGAAATGAAAATAATCGATGAATTTTAATTTCTGCTTATTAACAACAACAAGTAAATATCTCAACAAGTATAAATACCTAATTAGGAAAATTACCGAATAACAACTAAATGATGTAGAAGATAAAACAAACAATTGTCCCTAATTTGTGCATCCTAAATACAAATATCACACTCAAAAATGTTTAGTTAGATATTAAATATATAAGCCAGCATGTAGAGACATTAAATATTTTGGAAAGGAGAGGTGAAAAATGAGCAACGCCCTCGCCGACACGAACCTCAAACGTTCCGAATACGCGCCGAGTGTGCTGACCATTACACCACGAAGGCATGCTAAGAAGCTGGCAGAAATACCTTATATACTTTCCCTTTTAAAGTGCGACTGGGTATTAGGGAACACAATCACCAAATCCTGATGGTGGAGAATCATCATCCATCAGCATTTTTAGTTCGGGCGCCACTGTAGAGACATTAGGTATTATGAAGCAGGAGAGGTGAAAAATGAGCACTGCCCTCGCCGGGACTCTAACCTCGGACCTCTCGAATACGCGTTGAGTGTGCTGACTATTACACCACGAAGGCATGCTAAGATACCGGGAGAAATACCTTATAAGCATATTTCATAAAAATTGATGCAGAAGGGTTTTTTCGTATTATAATATTAACTTCATTCTTGAAAATGTCATATATTTGCATTTCCTGCTTACCTTCACGTGAAAAACGTTTTGCAAGATGTCAGAATGTTAATCAGATGTGGATGCATTCGTTGAATAAATATGGCAATCAATGGGCGAACTATGGAGAACTGGCGAAAAATTTCGTTTTAAAATTAAGTCCTTAAAACTTCTGCTTCAATTAACTGCAGAACTAAATATTTCTTTAATGTCATTTTTATCTTAAACAACACATATTCCATAAGGAAGTGTATTTTGCATCAAAGCTGTACGAAATGCGTTAAAAATCTGTTCTTCATAGTAATTGCGTAGTTAATGAATCGGAACTGTAGAGTAAGCTGGAATTTTCTGACTTTTACTTTGGTTTAAAGAAAATAAAAGAAACAAGCTTGATTTTTGGGCAGGAAAATACATCCATGGTAGGCTTATATTAGATACTTACATATTTCATAAGGAAGAAGGAAATGTCATTTAAAATTAACAATGCCTGCATTCTAGAGTTATACAATGGATACTTATTCAGTCACGGACATTTATTTATTTATTTATTTATTTTTTGTCTGAAAACATTTTATACACTCGCAAAAGAAGCATGAATTGAAGAATCACCAACATGGTTGCAATAATATCGGTTTTTAAAAATAACTACCAAAAGAACTAGTGGCTAATTTAAAGTGAGTTTATAAAAAGAAAATTTTATATGTTAAAAATTTAATTCCATCAGCAACAGTGAAGGAAATAGAATATTATCGGTATGACTGCAAAAATTTGAATCATTCGTAGTGCATTGGAGTTCAGCAGTCTGTTTCTTCTAGTACTGAAATTCATAAATTTACCAAAATTCAGTTTTTACACGTCAGATAGATTCTCAGAAAAAAAAAAAAAAAAAAAAAAAAAAAAAAAAAAAAAAAAACCGTCTAAAAGAAACAGTAGAAAGTAGGATTTGCAATCTGAGAAAAGTTTAACATTACAAATATTCAAAAAATTAAAAATATCAAAATCAATAAAAATAATGACTTAGTCTTTTATAAAATAATATTAATATCTGTTAGTGCCAACCCATAAAAGTAAATCCTTGATTTTGAATAAAATTAAAACTGAATTTCGTTTATGAGTGGTTAAAACTCAGCTCAAAAGAAGTTTCAGTTTGAAAAGTTCCAGCGTTCGCTTCTGCATTTATTTTTTGAATACAAAATAATATCAAGAGAGTTTGCATGTGTATGTTACAATAAATTTCCTCACAACAATTCTATTTTATGTGAATGCAGATAATAATCGACACCAATTCGAAATTTAGCTAGTGAGCTATTATAAAGTGTTAGAAGCCTATT